ACTCCCTCTACTTCCTGATCCCCAAAGCAAAAGGGGGTCTGCAACCCATTTTAGACTTACGCAGACTCAACAAATTCATAGTAAAGTTGAAGTTCCGCATGGTCTCCTTGGGGACCATCATCCCTTCCCTGGATCCTGGGGACTGGTACGCCGCCCTCGACATGAAGGATGCATATTTTCATATAGCGATCTACCCCCCTCACAGGCGCTTCCTTCGTTTTGTAGTAAACAAGGTACACTACCAATTTGCCGTCCTTCCCTTCGGACTGTCCATGGCTCCGAGAGTGTTCACCAAATGTATGGCCGTCGTGGCAGCATACCTTCGGCGACAAAGGATACAGGTCTTCCCGTATCTAGACGACTGGCTGGTCCACGGCCACACCAGAGAGCAGGTTCAGGCGCACGTACAGATAATACTACAAACATTCCACGACTTAGGCATTCTACTCAACAAAGAGAAGTCCACTCTGGAGCCGACCCAGAGAATAGAGTTTATCGGGGCAGTCTCAGACTCCACACTCGCCCGAGCTCTTCTGCCAGGCACTCGGTTTCGCACCATCGCGAACATCATCCACAGACTCCAGGCCTTCCCGATTACCACTGTAAGGACGTGCCTCGGTCTGTTGGGTCACATGGCCTCTTGTACTTACGTAACCAGGCATGCCAGACTTCGGCTTCGTCAACTTCAGGCCTGGGTGTCCTCGGTGTACCGCCCTTCTCGGGACAGCCTGAACATGGTGGTCACGATTCCGAACTTGGTCTTGACCTCTCTCACCTGGTGGCTGGATCACAAGGCGGTTTGTGCAGGAGTGCCGTTTCACGCCCCACAACCCTCCCTGCACCTGGTCACGGATGCCTCATCTCTAGGTTGGGGCGCTCACCTCGGGGAGCGCCATACCCAAGGCCTCTGGACCGCATGCCAACTAGCTCTGCACATCAATGTTCGAGAACTGATGGCGGTGCGCCTAGCCTGTCAGGCATTTTTTGGTCTCCTGCATGGCCGCTGCGTGTTAGTCTTCACAGACAACACCACGGCCATGTTCTACATCAACAAGCAAGGAGGAGCCCGGTCGTCTCCCCTATGCCAAGAGGCCATTCGCCTGTGGGAGTTCTGCATTGCCCACTCGATACATCTCATGGCATCGTTCCTCCCTGAAGTCCAGAACACTCTGGCGGACCGTCTCAGCAGATCCTTCCAGACATACGAGTGGTCGATTTGCCCGGACATCATCTATTCCATCTTCCAGAGGTGGGGATTTCCCCAGGTAGACCTGTTCGCATCACGAGCCAACAGGAAGTGCCACGTGTTCTGCTCCCTACAAGGGCGATCTCCGGGCTCCCTGTCGGACGCTTTCCTTCTAACGTGGAAAGACCAGCTGTTCTATGCTTTCCCTCCATTCCCACTGGTCCACAGGGTACTGCTCAAACTACGCAGAGACCAGGCACGTGTGATTCTAGTCGCTCCAGCTTGGCCAAGACAGCACTGGTACACCACGCTTCTGGAGCTATCGGTTCAAACTCCGATCACGCTTCCCTTGTGCCCAGACTTGATCTCCCAGGACCATGGCCGATTGTGTCACCCCGACCTGCAATCGCTCCACCTTACAGCGTGGATGCTCCATGGCTGAATCGGACAGAGCTACAATGCTCACATCCCGTGCAACAGATTCTAATGGGAAGTAGAAAGCCCTCTACACGGACCACTTACTTAGCCAAGTGGAAGCGGTTCTCCTGTTGGTGTGACCAGCTGGCCACGCCCCCCTTGCAGGCGTCTATTCCTCTTATACTCGAGTATCTCCTGTCCTTGAGACAGCAGGGCTTGGCAATATCTTCAGTCAGGGTTCACCTGGCCGCTATATCGGCGTTCCAGCCAGGAGAACACGCTTCTTCGGTCTTCTCTAACCTGATGGTTGTCAGATTCCTCAAGGGCTAAGACCGCCTTTACCCACAGCAACGCCAACCCGTTCCGGCATGGGATCTTAACCTGGTTCTCTCCAAGCTCACAGGACCCCCATTCGAGCCATTGGCTACCTGCTCGCTCCTTTACCTATCTTGGAAGACAGTCTTCCTTGTAGCCATCATTTCAGCAAGGCGTGTTTCTGAACTCAAGGCCCTCACATCTGCACCTCCGTACACAGTCTTCCATAAAGACAAGGTGCAGCTTCGCCCCCACCCTGCCTTCCTTCCCAAGGTTGTATCAGCTTTTCATGTGAACCAGGATATATTCCTCCCGGTCTTCCATCCTAAGCCACACGCCACGCGCCAAGACCAGCGTATGCACTCCTTGGACGTGCGCAGGGCCCTTGCTTTCTATATTGAGCGTACGAAGCCATTTCGAAAGACGACGCAACTCTTCGTTGCAGTAGCCGACTGGCTGAAAGGCCTACCGGTCTCCTCCCAACGTCTCTCCTCTTGGATCATGTCCTGCATTCGTGCTTGCTACGACCTGGCTGGTGTCCCAACGCCACGCCTCACCGCCCACTCCACGAGGGCCCAAGCCTCCTCGACTGCCTTCCTGGCTCAAGTCCCGATCCAGGACATTTGTAGAGCTGCAGTTTGGTCATCGTTCCACACCTTCGCCGCTCACTATGCGCTGTTACAGCAGTCCAGAGACGATGCTGCATTTGGTTCAGCGGTTTTGCACACAGCGATGTCTCACTCCGACCACA